TGTCAGCAAATAAAATGGTTTCGCAGACCAAACATATGTCATATATTTCTTAGTTTATTTAATCGAGCCTCACCCTCAAGTCTTGTGTTTATCTTCGGGATAAATACAGGGTTTGAGGAATAGTGCTCTTCCATTTAAACTATGAAAAATATGGGGTCAGCTTGATTTCATATTTTTCTAAACTTAATATATGTAAATTAAATGTCCTTCCAAACCGGACAATGGGATTTCGATTCCGGTGACCGATAGCTTCCAACGGACAACTCCACACCTAAAATAGTGCCGACAGTAAACTAGTAAAAAAAGTAAATAATGTAAATCTTTAATTTAAGTAATGTATATTAAAGATGAAAATAAAAAAGTGTTTTTCTTAGAGATAGAGATTCAACATAAATGAGTGAGCTAATTTGATAGAATTTTTAATGAGCTTTCTAAAAATATAATTGACCTTACTTATCTTAATAACAGTAATAGTAATAAAATGTGTTATTTGTATCGTTGCATTATGAAAAAGGAAGTTGAGGATGCTTTAAAGAAAACCAAGTGTGGAAAATCAGTAGAACCCTATTATATCCATATTAAAGTGTAAAAATATTTAAAAGATTTAGGAGTTTCTTAACTTACTAAACTCTTTAATACTATTTTAAAAACTAAAAAGATGTCTGGAGTTTAGAGGAAGAGTATTTTGGTCCTCATATTTAAGAATAAAGGAGATGCACTAGAGCATGCAATTTATAGAAGAATTATATTAATCAGTCTCACTTTAAGAGTAATTGAACATATGTTAAGATGTGCTATAAAGATTTATCATAATCATGGGCAAGCCTACTATGAAAGTTATACATTTATTGAGAGATTTGATGGAGAAGTACATAGAGAGCAAGGAGGATCAACATGTGTTTTTTATTGGTTTAGAAAAAGCTTATGATAAGGTTATAAGACATGTCCTTCAGAGAGTTCTAGAGAAGAAGGGTGTTTATATAACTTATATTCAAGTCATTAAGGATATGCATACTAGGGTGTTTGAACAGAAGGTAGATTGACCAAGTATTTTCTTATTTCAGTTGGATTACATATGTGATTGACTTTAAGTCAATACCTATTTTACTTTAGTTATGGATGGTCTTACTGGACATATACAGGACGATGTACCTTGGTGAGTTCTTTTTCTTATGATATCCTTCTCGTGGAAAAGGCTAGAGAAAGAGTTAAGGAAAAACTTGAATTATGGGCGTCTATAATGAAGTCTAAAAGCATTCACTTGAGTATATCTAAAACCAAATATATGGAATGTAAATTTATTATTAGTATCTCTAGTGTCAAAGTTGTAACTATGGGGGATCAAATCATTAAAAAGTGCGAACATTTTAGTCTTTTTTTCAAAGTGATGGTGACGGAGATGAGGATGTTATGGTTGGTCAAAGTGAAAGAATGCATTAGATTTATTGTATGATATAAAAGTACTGCTTAGACTTAGAGGAAATTTTATAAGTTGGTGGTAATACCTGCAATACTTTATGGAGCAAAATGTTGGCTTCTGAAAGAGAAGCATAAAACAAAGTTAAGTGTTGCTGAGATGAGAATGCTTGGATGGATGAGTAGCATGATACTTAAAGAAAAAATGTGAAACAAATCTATTTGGGAAACGGTTGGTGTAGCTTAAGTGTTAGACAAAATTAAAGAGAATTGTCTTAGATTATTTGGGCACATTAAACATCGATCATCTGATAATTTGGTTATGAGGGCGGATATTTTAGATTTGACTTATGTTAAGAAAGGCTGAGGTAGACCTAAAAAGACATGGGCATATTGTATAAAAAATGATCTTAATATATTATAATTAAATAAAAAATTTGCTCTTAATAGGACACAATGGAGAAAAGGTATTCATGTAGCTGACCCACTTAGTGGGATAAGTGCTTGTTATTGTAGTTGTTATTTTTGTTGTTGCAAAAGAACAACAATTTTTCCTTGAGGGTTCCTTAGGTTAGTTGCACATCATCAATGTATTTCTTAATGTACAGATATAATCTGATATTATTTTTCCTAAAGGGTTCCTTGACCTTCATTATTAATGGTTTAGATATTTTTGGGTTTCTTTGAGGCTGTAAATTTGATTTATACAAATTATCTCTCATAGCAACAAATTTAAAGTAAAAGAACTCAATTGAGTGATAACAAGTGGTTGATTGAAATTGTTATTATGTACTAATAACACATGTTTAAAAGAGAGAAATCTATGGAATTTACAATCTTCATATATTACAAACATACTTTTGGTCTTTTCTAGCTCATGTTCTTTAGAGAACTCATCATACATTGGATTCAACATGCCTTAAATTATCATACATTGGATTCAACATGTCGCAAGTTATTTTTATTTAATCATATCAATGTTATGTTAAAAAAAAATTAATTCAACAGAAAAAATAAATAGAGTTGATGTTCTCATTTAGTATACCTAAAAAAAATTGATCAATCAAAAAATTATTTGCTTTTAAGGTTCACAATCTTCTTCCCTTATAAATAATAAATATACTAAAAATAGTTAACTATCTTGCATCCTCTATTCTTGGATTCCTATCTCACTTTTCCCCCTTATTTCATGATGGAAGCCTTATACTAAAGCCTAAACATTGGGTTGATGGGATGAGAATAAGCAAATTTTGCTTACGAGTAGCCATTACTAGTTTTTCTCTTATGTCTCTTATAATGTTTAATTTAAGACTTGAAGTTGCCCCCCTAATATGCCAAATATTTTATAAATACTATTAAGACCATATATTTTTCATCCTTATGAGGTTTCCATATAATCCTTTTGGTAAATAACTTTCATTTATTATTGATCAGTCTGTTATATTTGTTTTTTTCTTTCATTCAATTTTCAATTAAAGCATCACATGATAATACCATGTTAAAATTTAAGAGGGAGACTAAAATGAGTAAGAAATTTATATGGAAAAGAGTACATTCACAAGCAAGAGTAAATATGACACATCTTAAATTAGAATAAAATTGAATCTTTTAGCACTTAAAATGATTATTATTGTGGTTTTTATGTTACCAATAATAGAGTTAACAATCACTTTTCCAAATTATATATATATATATATATA